CAACAATACTCAGTTCAATTACACATTGTTCCGTCACGTTGTGATGGTCTTATATATATATACAAGACTAACACATATCTAGTAAACTCTAGAGCATTCATGAAGGAACAGGATATTTCTAGAAGTCAATGACGTGTTACTAGCGTCACGTGACCCCGATGTCGTAACAATATTTTTGTTTAGCAGAGGTGGTCTTTTTTCGTTTAGTAAACATTAAGTGGGGAGAGGTATTTAGGACTATCATCATCACGTATGATATAGCGATCTATTTCGGTTAATAAGTCGTTTTTCTATAAATTTTTATCAAAGTCCCGGAAAGAGCAACCTATCAGTCTGTCTTTGATTGGTTTTATTATGTATGAAATTTGTATTTGTTGTTCTTGGTACTCTGAAAGCTGTTGTGATTATTCTGCTCTGTAGCTTCTTTATGTGTGTGGGTGCTGCATTAGTCCAGACATATTCCATAACTGGTCTAATGTACTGTTTGTAAATTTTGACTGTTTTCTAGAGTGGCTCCTGTGTTTTTACCTGTTAATCTTTTAATGTAGATTGCTCCTTACCATATTTTATTCTTAATTTGGGTAATATGTTTATTCCACGTCAATTTTGAATGGTAAGTTATACCTAAAAATTTTGCTGATGTGATAACATTTAGAAGAGCTCCGTTTAGGTAGATTTCAGGAGGATTTCTTAATGTTTTAATGCATTTTGAAGAAAGAACAAGGTTTGTTTGAGGAACATTTATTTTTATCCTGTGTTTTTGACAGTATTCGACAATTTGGTTCAGAGCAGGCTGCAAATCTGTAGCCGCTATCGAAGGAGTTGAAGAGCTCTTCCAAATTGCCATATCGTCTGCAAATCGTGATGTTAAACTAAACGTTGGATCAATTAATGGCATGTCGCTTACATATATAATGAAGGATAGGGCTAACTACTCTTCCCTGTGGAAGACCTGCCTCGGGAATAAAATACTCGGAGTACGTGCCCTCCGCATTTTCCAAGAAGTTAGACAACCAGCGAATAACACCTGTTGGTAATTCTAATTGTTTCACTTTATATCTTAAACCTTTATGCCATATAGTGTCGAATGTTTTTTCTATATCGAGTACATAGTACATTTCTTATGATTAAAACTATCTATTAGGGTTTCGGTTAACCTAACCAAATGATCTGTTGTTTGCCGAAATTTTCTGAAACCATTTTGAACTTCTGGGAGTTTGATGCAATCTACAGAAAAGTGGAGATCCTATTGCTAATAATTCGAGAGGAAGGTTACTTTCTCTGTGCGGGCGATTTTTGAAATTCCCCCGTGACAAAAATAACCATTCCTACAATGACCATGAGCACATAAAACGTGTTTATAACATTTCCCTTATTGTTGCAGCAAAACTGTTGAATTTAAAAAATTTTCTTAACCTTGTTTTAGGACCACAAATCCATTGCTACAATATATATATATATATATATATATATATATATAT